CAGACCCTAGATTTTCCATTTTAATAAAGCTTCTTTGTCCAACAGACTGAGTTTATGGAAAGGCTGCAGACCAAAACAGGCAGAATTAAATTATTACAACCTAAAGTCTAATTTATTTGAGCTGTAGTGAGTGTAGGGGTGGGTTTGCTACAAACCTTATTCTTTTTTCTTTTTTTTTTACTTTCTTGCTGCTGAGACTTCATGCAGAAAAAGCAGAATGTCACTCAACAACCTCTGAGGCTCAGTGAGACTCAGACCCCTGCTTCATCATACAGAATTGGCTAAGCTGGCGTGCCTGTGTGTGGAATGGCACATTTTTATACTCAGGGGTGTCATGACACACAGGCTTTTCTTCGTACTCAGTGGAGAAGTGCTACCCTCAGTCAGCCATTTGTCTGGAAATTGTGTGCCTTCATGCCTTCCTCATCTCTGGTTTCTTTTCTTTTGGGGGGGGGGGAGTTGCTTGTTAGGCTAAGGAGCTTTTCTGAAGATGGTAGGGTTGCAGCAGAACAGAATTACGTCATGTGGCAAAAGTAACACCCCGTTCAGACAGCAGACAATACATGTAAAAGTCCACGTAAATGGGACACAGAATAAGAGTCGGGTCACTGCACCAAAGCTGTCAAGCAGTGCTGGCATGTGAATATTCACTGGAGTTTTCCTGTGTGATTAGTTTATTCTGCAGGCTGTGAAAGAATCTCACAGAACTACACTGTGACTGGTGAGTTCTATAGTGATTTGGCATTTCACTTCCATAAATTTAGTGTCAAGAGGCAGAGATATCATGACTGAAAGTCTCTACTATGGGTAAAGCTCCAAAACCCCATAATGCAATGCAATACCATCTTTCATAAGACCCTGCTAATACCTTTCACACCTCATGTTTTTAATGCTGACTTTTGGTGTCGATATGGTCTCTTCTCAGGAGCATGAACCAGACAATGTGTTCTTACATGTAGCCTGTTATGGAGATGTGACAGGGCATTATACTTCATATTGTCACGTTTAAAGATGAGCAGTGGAACAGGCTGTTTTTTTCTCGCTGTTGCGCCAGCTTTAAGTTTTAATGATAGCCACCCTGCTGTGGCGTTGATGGGCCATAGTACTCTCCTCACGGCTTTGTGAGTTGTATGCACGCAATTCTGAATCCTGCACAGTTACATCAGAGGAGAATATATGTATCACACAAACGCATACACAGGCGGTGAAGATGAAATGAGTCTCAGTGATACAGTTATATCAGCAAGATGATATGTAAGGCGAGCAAATGCGAAACTCTGCCTCATTTGTCTTCTTATAAAGCTGCTTCTCACTGTATTAATCTTTTCATCCTACGATGGCAAAGCCACTTCAAATGTTACACACCAACCTTTGTCTTAATAAGTGTGGGAGGTGAGTGTGTCTGGACAAAGTGCACTTTGCATGTGCAGCTGTGTTGTTGGCTAAACCGGGAGATCAGATTAGATAAGATTAGATACAGCAGGCTGAGTCCTAAAATTGATTCTAATGTTTTATTTCTCTGGAACAACTGCGAGCGCCACAAGCATCCAAAGATTGTCACAAAGCTTTCACACACTCCTTGTTTGTCTGGGTTAACAGCTCATGGAGGAGAGAATGGGGCAGAGAGTGTGATGGGATAGAGCAGACGACAGAGGACTGGAGGAGAGGCCTTGCTTTAACAAGCTTGTCTCGCTCCCTAATTCAGCTTGAGCCATCAAAGTGTTGAAAGCTTGACGTTGCTAGGGGCGCTTGTATTTTTTGACTCAAACCTGTGACAGGAATTACAGGTTCCCCCTTCAACTCTGCTTTGTTTATGGTGGCAGACTTGAATGCTTGGCTAGAATGAGATTAACTCAGCGTTCTGAGATTGGAGCATAATCAAAGCCTCACAATGGTGAGGTATCATTCCCCTCTAAATGAACCAAGCAGCCAGTGTCATTGTTTATATATGGCCTCTTTAACTGGGGGTTCGTCGTGGCAGTATCGTCAGTATAGCAGAGCGGTTGTTTATAGTTATTCATATACATCACAGCCCAGACTGCATTCAGAAACAGAAATGAGCACAGAAAGGGAGGAGTTGAAGCTTCCTTTTAAATGAGAAACTTCATGAATAGTGTATTGACAACAAATGGAGCATGCATGCATTGCGCATCGCATCTGCATAATTGCATACCTGTAACCGCAGCATTGTTAGGAGTTAATTTATGTCTGCACGCAAACTTCAATGCCTTTTTGTCTATTTTCATTGGCTCAACCTCTCACAATTGGAGCACTGGGAGTTTATCCACTTGGATGTCTTATGAAGAGTCACAAACTTGCTTTGTTGTCACTAAGGGATGGCTTTTGTCTGTGTGAGTCAGTACCCAGGGTCTATATTTGATTGTGCACACAGCAGGGGGCTCTGCATTTAGGAGGGTCTCTATAATACCCAGGGAACAGTCCTCAATCTTAAAGTCTATGAGGGGAAAGAGAAGCTCCTGAGTAGTTTTTAAATCCTATGAGAAATAAAGAATAAAGGTTTGGTGCACTGTACTAAGATGCACTGTGCTGTTTTGCAATGTGTCGAGACCGGGATGTGGAATGAAACTGAGCCATATCTCATGCATTACTTCAGCTTGTTTGCTTATTTGTTTAATCTACTCAGGGCTGTATTCTGTTATGTCAGAGCAATGTGACATAGTATATGTTGGCCTCTGACCAGGCCAATTAGTTTGATGTATTGCTGTCTCGATGCTGTGTATATTCAGCAGAGGAAATAAATCTGCATGCTTATGTTTCTCTCTCTCTTGCTCTCTCTGTGCTTCCAAATGTCGCTGCTATCTTTCCATGTGACAGCGAGATGCAAAGTGGAGCCTTTTTTTCATCCTGCATTGACTGTGTGTGTGTGTGAGAGACAGTTTTAAAATTATATTTCTGGGTTGGGAAATTGGAAAAAAACATCAGGCAATTATTTCTATGACCATTTAGATTATTTTCCGTCAATATAAATCTCTCTTTTAAAGAAAGTGAAATCTTGAATAATGAACCTTATTTTGTCATCTAGGACTTATTATTCTATTCAAAAGAATAATGAACCTCTTTGTTTAATATATTTTAGAGACTAAAGGTATTTCTGCACAGCGTGTTAAATTAACATTACACACAACACCCACTGATTTCATCTTATTAAAATGTACTGTGGTAGACTTCTTTTATATTACTACGTTTAATCTTCCATCACAGTATGAGATATACTTTTGCACTACACAAAATTACTTATTTGAGTCAGCAGCTCTAACTTTATTAATATCTACTTGACATTGTTGACACAGTCATATGATGCTCTTGGAAATGTTGACTTTTTCAACACATCCTCTTTGAAACACTGCTCATTAGATGAGATATATTCAAACAATAAAAACGTGGCTTAGTCAATGAAGAAAAACCAAGTGACATAAATAAAGCAAGAAGTACATGTTGTCTCAATTAAACCTCAGACATCCAAGGTCTGGGCTTCTCTTTGATATCGAATCGGTTATGTCATCATGTCAGGACCTAAAGAACAGAAAATATAAATATAAAAAATGTTGGGGAATTAAAAACATCTCTTATCAACTGCCAATTTGTCCAGTTCTGACCAGCCCAACAAATTTAACCCAAGAGTATAAACGATCTGATGCAAAAATAACTGAACCAAAGTAACCTAAGAACCAAACCAAAATGTCATCATTGGATCTGCAGGTAACTCTTGTTAGTGTGAATGTGCATTTAACTGCTATTTGAAAGAAGTTGTATGAATTTGCCTGCAAAAATAGCCTACACTCTGCGTTCTGAAAAGAAAATGAAAATTGTTTGGCTACAGAAACAGTTATGGTTTGGGGCTACTTCACTGCCTCAGGGACAGGGCAGCTTGCAGCCACTGATTCAGCTATGAATTCAAGATACTGCAAGGCCATCTGTCCAAAAAAGCTGAAGTTGTACCAGAACTAGGACTTTCAGCTGTGTATTGATTGTAAGCGCTCTAGCAAATCCACTAGGATTGCCTCAAAAAGAAGAAATGGAAGTTTTAGGAGCAGCCGAGTCAAAGCCCAGATTTGAATCCCATTGAAATGTTGTGGGGCTTTTTTGAAGGGGCTGTGTACACAAGAACGGCCTTGAACATCTTGTAGCTGAATGGATTCTGCACAGAAGAGTGGTCACAAAAAGTTACAGAGCCAATGTCAGAGACTGGTGGACAATTATGCAAAACGCCTCCGGGAAGTTATTTCTGCTAAAGGGAGAAAATAACAGCAACTAAGGCCAAGGCTGTACTTACTTTTCCACAGAGAGATATTGCATCTATTAACATTATAGTTTAATAAATGATTGAAAAGTCTTATTTTCTGTGTGGCTTTGGTCAAGTACATCCCTTTTTTCTGTGCACTTGCAACGAGCAAAAAGGTCTTTGTTCAGATATGAAGAAAAGCCAATAATTTCCAGGGGATTATGTCGTTTTTTAACACATGACTCTTCATTGTTTACATTACATAATAAACAAGTTGTTAGAAATGTACAAAATAAATAAATATGAATATGTAAATATGGCGGCCATGTAATTATTATTGTCATGGAGCATTTTGGGGTTCAGCTTTTCAATTTAGTGAAGCATAATTAAATCCTAAATGTCAATATGTGTTGTGTGTTGCCACCTTCCTGCTGCAAATTGTTTGCAACAAATGGGAGCATATTAAAAATTAACCCAAGTGGTGCAACGTGCGGCTCAGAAGCTGCTGCAGTGTGTGAATTCACTTCTGCTGAGGCAAGGTTGTGGACTTAGCCTTGTTGTTCAATATTCTGTGAATAATTGAAACTGACTTCTTGTGCCTGGTGTTTTTTATACAGTAAAAACTCTAATAACCTCAAAAGGGAAAAAAATTGGGAAGCTGACGAGAATGTGGAAAAATAGCAATTCCAAAACCTTTTTATACGTTATCTCAAGAAATGAAATTTCTCGTTCTACTTTTTCTCTCTGCCTCTCACAGGTGGACTTGCTTGTGCCAACCAAGGTCACAGGTGTCATCACCCAGGGAGCTAAAGACTTTGGCCATGTCCAGTTTGTTGGCTCATACAAAGTTGCGTACAGCAATGATGGAGAGCGGTGGAGTGTGTATCAAGACGAGAAACAAGGCAAGGACAAGGTAAGTGGCCTTCACACCACAAGACCACGATGATAAACACAAAGAGGTTTAAAACAGATGCATCAACGTATGTAGTGATGAGACTGTACACACAAACACATTTTTAATGTCGTGTACACAAGGCATATATATTAAAAATACAGTGGAATTATAAATGCATGCCTATGGGTGCTGTGTGTACTGAAGTTGTGAATTATATATCACACTAAGAAGGAAAGAGCCCTTTTAAGTGGAGAGGAACGGCATCAACAGAACGATGAATAGGAAGGACAGAAACCTGAAGCAGACAAAAGCACAAAGCAGTAAATGTAGAGAAGAAAAAAAAACAGGTTTTTCTTTTGAAAATGTCAATTTTGGGACCTGTCTGTTTCTCTTCTCCACTTCCCCTCAGCATCTCCTTATCTGTGCCTCAAACTGAGGTTGCCTGGTCTGTCCTGTTGCCTCTCTCTGGTCTGGGATCAGATAAGGCTGTGCTGTCAACCTGGTTTGGCCAGTGCTATGCCGTAAATCTTGTTTTACGGCCCTTCAACAAAGTACACATGTCCGTTCCAATCGCCCACAACAGCAGCGACAGTGCGAGGCTGCAGCAGCCTCTCTGCTGATATCAGGAAGAGCTGCAGGCACCAGGAGAGGGAGTGTTTACTTTTCTCTCTTGCTGTGTTAATGAAAGATAAAGCCCAACTTCTGCTCATTCACTGATTTGGGATGTGTTTACTCTGAAAAATCGAGTACCTGAGATCGAGTACATATCATACATGTATATTGCACATAAAAAAAACAAAACACAATTGAAGTGTTTGAATGAGATATATACTGAGATCATGGAATATAGTCTACTGTATAACATGTTCTATTTTAGTCTGCTGTGTAAATTAGGTTTTCATCTATGGAATTTCTTTCCTCTTATTATTAGGGAGTAGTATTTCATTTTGTGAGCATCATTTCTTTACTTTATGTTCAGATTGCAATGCTTTCCCTCAGAATTCTGCCCTGCCTCTTAAATAGCCCCTGCACACGTGCAAATATGCTTTTGCTCCAAACTGTTGGATTCTTTGTTGTTTGTAGTCCTACAAGTCATTTTCCTTTTGCTCAGTTCGGTTCTGTGTTTGTATAAATTCTGCTCTCAGATTTTTGCTCTCACTCTCTTTCGTAAAATGATCCTGTCAGAATTCACCAGACATTATATTGACCAATTGAATCATCACTGCCTAATTGTGCCGCTCAAGTAATCACATGCAGGACCTAAGAGTATTTTTATATTAATAATGCTGTCTAAGGATATTACTGCATTCACAAACTGTATCCACTCTGCCAGTGCGTGGATCAGTATTAATTCAGGATTGTTGACCAAAAAATGTGTCTCGTTTGCAATCTCTCCAAATTGTGACATTTTAGTAGCTTCTGCAAAAAATCATTGCACAACATTCTTCTGAAACAAATGTAATGTTAACGTACAGTCACTCTTAAATTGCATGAAGCTTATTTCCTTCTACAGTGTCTCTACAAACCCAGAGAAATTACAAGGAACTGAAGTTGTATCTCAGGGCGTGTGTTCATGTGGTGTTTCACTTTGGCAGAACAGCACATGGGCGCTGGGGAGCGCTTCACCCCTACACTTCATCAAAAAGGCTTTGCCCATGGGTTTCGTTTCTATGACAACAAAACAAAAGCACAACTACTCCCCATCAACAGTCAGTGCCACAAATAGTCTTTCGTGTCTTTGTTGCGACAGCTTCTGTCTGACATGTCACACCACTCAGCATAGACAGACACGGCCAGGACAAGCCTCCCCGTTTTCTTTATTACCAGGGTGATGATCTCTGGTCCATCCGATTGGTTGCCTGAAAAGGAGCTAAGGCGACGACACTAGCAGCTTTATGAAAAGTTCTGAGGTTACAGATACGCTCGCTCCTCAACAATTTAACAGAGACATTGGCGCTGAAGAAATAAGACTATATGGACTCATGCTTTAAATCTCTTATTTACTGAGATTTGAATAAATCGACACAACTTTTAGCTCCATCAGTAACCAACCCTTTTTGTACATATGCAGATATGTCCAACTTCTCCAGTTGCCTTCTTTCAAAACCATTGTAGCTCATAGAAATTACTTTAATCGTCTAATGTATTTATGAGTTAGCTAGTTACTTGTCAGTATATTTCCCACTCTAAACATGAAAATGTGGACAACCTATCTCATTAAAACACTTTGGTGTCAATTTTTTCTTTGTTGCTTAGCAACAGTGTTCACACAATTAAGAGTAATTAAAACATACGGCATAATATGCCCAGCACATTATCGTGTATGTATTCCCATGCTGCAAATGTGACTACCAATTAGAATTGAATAAGTAATAGCAACATTAAAATAAAATACTTATTTGAAGTGTTTATGATCACAATCCTTTATAACACAACCATCATTTAGAAACTTTGTGAGATCATTTTCATGAATAAATAACGGTCAATCTGTTTGAAAGTTTTTAGAATTTAAGTGGGTTTTTTTCCACAGTTGTTGCATTATTCAACACTTAAGGTTCCTGCATCTGATTTATTTCTACTCTTACCTGCTAAAAAGCACCTGTCAGACCAGTGGGAGCCACGCAGCGCCTCGCTCTCGCTTTCTAAACCAAAATCCACTGCTTGAATATTTGAAAGCATAATATTTTGTAAGCAAGTCTAATGGTTTGCAAAATTTAATTTCATCTTAGAAGGTGCTGTTTTTTGGTTTCTCTGTAACTTAGTTAAACAAGTTAAACAAGTTCACAAGAAACTGTGAGTGGAAGTACAAACCTTCATTTGGGATGGAATTGTATTTATTGTATGAAGATATACTTTTCCAGGTTCAATCTTTAAAGAATATTGCCACATATTTATTTATGAATGCAATTTTTTTTCAAACATTTGTTCAAGAATTATTTTTAATAACAACTTCAAACCCTGAAGTTTCAAATGTTCCATCATATTTGGTTCCATATTTGTGCTGCAGTCTTTACTCCACAGTCCCTGCACATAAAAGCTATGATGTCTGCCTCTCTCATGAAAACGGATTCTGAGCCGTTTGTGGGAGCTTTGTGGCAACTTCCACTGCCATTTTAATGTAAGATTTTTATTTTTGCTTGGCTCAGTGTGATAAATCTAAACACTGAAATATGACAGCATCTTGTTAAACCAAATAATACACCGATATCAATTTATGCCCTTATCCTTGTGGCAGAGCCAGTACAGCAGCTGATGGTTGGAAATGTTTTTCCATTTGTGCAGTCAAATTCTTTGCTGGAGGAGCTTATAATTTCAACACCCATGATTATCTTTGGATAATCGCAGGCTCAGCACGATTTTCACTCAGGCAACCTCACTGCTTCCCTTCTAAGGACCTGGCAAGCATCATCTGAGGCAGATGGAGAGAAAAGTAACTGTGACACACTGTGACTAACTGTTATGTTTAAGGTATTATTTTTACATCTAATTTTCAGAAAATAAAAATCAGTGTATCACAGCACTTTTATCCAGCTACACATGATTTAAAAATTATACGAGACACAAGCCATTTCTGTAATTGTTTTTATCTTTCTCTTTGTGTAATTCAGAGGAGGACAGGCAGGATAGCCAGTCAATCTGAGAGTGTCTGTGTGCTCTATATATTAGAAGGCAGGTGTGTTTAGCAAGGCGTCTGAAATGTCAATCAGTTTGTACCTGGCGTAGCCAAGGGGCTGTACAGATGATTCTTCAAGGTGTTTTCCCCCTTCAGTCCGCTGAAGCAGCCATTAGCGTCAGAGGACACATTTGGCTGTTGGATTCCCGAGGGTCCTCCTGACATACCACAATGCTTGACTTGGCAGGGGTATACTGTGTATTTGTGTAAATGTGTGTGTGTGTGTCTGGGTGTCTGGTTTGGGCACAGTGGTACAGGCTTGTAAGTATTCTCCTCAGCTCCCCCTCCAGCTCCTGTGTGGCAGAGGCTGCAGGCGGTTACATCTAGATTGAGAGAGGAGGCTCTGTCAGAATACAGATGTTGTCAAAGCGGGGCACAGTGACACACACACACACACACACACACACACACACACAAACCTTCCCCATTGTTTGCCTTTTTGTTGTTTTTTTTTACACAGAAATCCCAAATACCTATGCTCCGCACTTACAACTGACAAGTAACAACACAGCCCATTGTTTGAACATAATTAAACTCAGATACATTCCATAATTATATCGGCTTGGCTGCATTCCCACATGCACACACTTTCTACACCTGGGGTCACCACGTTGACTACTCTTGCACCACTGGCCCTTCCTGGGTGTCAATATTTATACAGGTGATGAGGCCAATCAAGCACAAAACTAATTGATTTATGTTTAATAGTGTTCCACACGGGGTTAATTAGCCATTAGAGCCTTCAATTCCCTCCAGGTCAGAGGGTAACTGACTGTTTGGTGACAGTCATCTTAGGATAAACCACTAATATTCATATCTTCCTTTTCTGCAGTCTTGGAAATATTAGCCAGGACATTAAATGATCCTGAGGGTTAGAGAAACTCACAACTACATAAGTTATTATCAAAAAGTTGATCATTTGTGCATTTGAGCTTGATTGAGCATCTTCTAAGCTCTCGTGCTGGTCTTGACCTTTCAAATAAGACATGGTTGAGTTGCCCTCATATAACCACATGTAGCGGCTACACATGGCTCAGGCAACAACAGGGCAGAGAGCAAAAAGATGTGAGCGACCTGCTACCCTGACCCGTAAACCAGGTTTAAATAATGGAGCCTGGGCAAGTATGGAGTGCTGTGTCTCCAGAGGCACCCTACTATAGTTAAGCTCACCCGTGACTCCACCAGCCTGGAAAATCAATAGGCGGGAGCAGAGTTGTGGCTCCTGGTTCAGGGTGAAGTCACACAGAGAAATGCCCTGGATGCCATTATCTTGACTATTGGATAATGTGATTATGCTTGTAGGCAATGGAGCAAGACCTGCCCTCAAGTAGTTCTCACATATGCG